AGACATGACTAGCAAGGACAACTGGCAGATCAAAGTCAACCACACGTGTATTATTAAAAACTCAATCTTGACCCTGCTGATATTGTTGGGGCACAATTATAATGTAAGAACACATTTATAAACTTGTAAACAAAGTATTTCGTGATCAACTAAAGGTCTCCAACCAAGTTTCTGTTCTGCTGCTTCTGCTGAATTCAGTTGACCTTGATGGTGTCCAAAGCCCAGCTGTGAATCTCAGATGAACACTGAGTCAGAGTAATTGTCTACACCTTAAGGCATCCTGGGCTAGTCAAGGACAACCAGAAAGGCATCCTCCCTGGAATGTTTCTATATTATGGTAATTGCCTTTAATTATACTCAGTCTGTAAGTCCCTTCCCCTTGTTCCTTAAGTGTTCTTATATTATGAAAACAATTCCTTTATTTTAATAAATCTGTTCAAAACTACCCTGCCTGTCAACATAGGACTCAATGCATGTAAACAATGCTTTGTACCTCCTATTTCTAAATTCTATATAAAGTAAGCTCTCTGTAAAGTCAATACTGTTGCCTTTGTGGAATTATCCTGCAACAGTCTGCTGGCATGATGATTCAACAGTTTGCTGGTATACAGATTAAACACTGCCTTTGCTGCGTTTTTTTCTCCTCAGTGGAAAGTCTTCCTTTTGATTTGGTTTGACGTGGCTTGGGAATTTTCCCACAACAGTATCAGAGATTCAATGATGAGGTTTACATTAGGGAGCAGTACAGTCTGTTTTGGGTTTTAGGTGCATCAATCCCACAACCAATTTTCTGAATAAAGGATCTAAAAATTATGAAGCTTCAGGAGAGAAAAGCAGAAAGTGATAGAAAATCTTTTAGACCTTTCACTAATAACAAACAGCCAGCTAAAGAATGCATATTATAGTCTCACCACTACTGCATTAGTACATTGTAAAATAAGTAGGTTCTGAATTACAGCAATGAATTGCAGGACAAAGCAAAACATACGTACCTCATATTTAGGTGCCAAAAAAAAAAAATCGAGATTTGATAATTAGTGACACTTCATAATTTGTTGAAGTTAGAGAACCAAAATTGAGTAATGCCAACACTAGAAGAAAACCTTTGGAAAATGATTTAAAGATGATGAGGGCAAGGGATTTAGCTCAGCAGCATAAACTATACTTTCCTATACCAAAAAACTTAAAAAAAAGATGATGAGTTCTGCTTGGGATCGCTAAGTGCTTGAAGACATCTACACACAGATATTACGCACATTGTTTTCTTAAACAAATAAACAAAACAAAAATCTATAGATAGAATTTTGGGATACATAGCACTTAAACTCTAAGAGTGGTCAGAGGATGCCCAGGTAGCCCACAGAAACATGATAAAAAAGGGTAGGTGTAAAAAAGAAAGAAAAAACTTCATGAATAACATAAGAGTAGTCAAAAGAAATCTGAGGAGAACTTAAGAGTATTAAGTCATGAAGATAAAAGAGAATTTTAAAGGAGAAATTATTGTCATAACCAAATATAAGGTATTGCTCCAAGAGAACACTAAGCTGAGCATATTACAGAGTCCTGCAATCCCAACACTTGGAGCTGAGTCAGGAGGATTACAGTCAATTCAAGGCCAACAATAATGAATTCAAGGCCAGTTTGGACTACATAATGACCTTGTCTCATCAACATCAACAAAAATAAAAAATAATGTTGAAACTGGCCATAGAATCTGTTGTTAGAAGTCAATGATTATTACTCAAGACCTTATTGAACATCAAGCAAAACAAACTTCAAGAATGGAAGATGGGAGGGGCTTCTGAGAAATATAGTGAAGACAGGACACATCACTATTCCTTCAAAAGACTGCACTATGATTCCTAACAAATGCTAGGATCCAGGGAAGGTCAGGAAAATGAGTCTATTTATTATAGTCCTCCAGCACTGAATGTAAAGTTCTATCACTAATTCCAAGACAAGAGTTTAGTATAAAAACAAAAGATAATGAATACAGAATCCCCACAAACTTAAAAAGAATACCAAATTAAACTGTGAAATGGGATTTATCTCTAATAAGAATATAAAGAACAATGAAAATTTTAAGGTTTTAGCTCTGTCACTTAGTACCTTTATGATTTCGGGCAAGTTACTTCTTTTTTTCTGTTTCCTCATCTATAAAATGGGGCATAATAGTACTTGTCTCATAGGCCTTATGAGAATTAAGATAATGCGTGAAAATTTCACAATACCAGCAAAAAAAAAAAAAAAAAAAAAAAAAAAAAAAAACAGTACTAGCTTAGAATAGAACCTCAAGTTTATTTTCATGGAATATATCAGATAAAAAGTATAAATACTTAAAGAACTTCTTTTCTGCAATACCAGAGATCAAACTCAGGGCCTACAACAACTACAAAGTGCTCTATCTCTGAGCTGTATTTTCAGCCCCACAATTGTATTTTCTAAAAGGCATGGAAAGATGTGCATTTACAACAAGTCTTTTTATCATATCTTGATTTACAGGTTCATTTTTAGCTTCAATAAATAATCCCATAATGGGGGTAGGAACTATAGGTGTACATATTACACTACGATATGTGTACTTCACAAGCCAGTAAAAGGAAAAGTAAGTACTTAATTATAAATTCAAATTGGAAAAAAAATTGATCTATTCAATGGTACTGAGATACACCTTTCATTAATTTCTGTAACGAAGTCCACACTGCAGAAACTTTATCTTTGTGTCTAAAATAAATTAAACATAACATGGAATAGTAGTAAGTGCTGTAATGTTGTGTCCCTTTTTATTTACACACGAAGCAACCTTTAATGATATAGTATATAATTCTCCCAGCCATTCCAAAGAGAAAAAAGATTCAATTATTCCCCAGATATATAAGCAGTTACATATTTCCCTTATATATCAGAATTTCATTACTGCTGGAACAGATAAAAAGTCAGCATTCAGTAAAGATCTCATGATTGATAATCAACATACCCAAGGATCTGTGAGAAATGCATAACAATACATTAAATTTCATAACATATAACCTCAATACTGCTAAGATAACTGCTGTCAACTTCTAAAGAAAACAAATTTTCCTTTTAATAAAACAAAGAGTCAAAAACATTAGTAAAGCTGTTTTAAAATAATGAAAGTACTACACAGATCTAATGTAATTAGTGAGAAGCTAATTTAAGAAAACATCAAATATGCTTCCTGATAGTTACAAGAAATGTGCACAGTGGCTAAATTTACACACAGAAATTTTACACATAGATTTTTAATTCTGTGGCATGGTTGACAGCAACAGTCAAGGCTTTTTCACAAATATGTCTATTCAGCAAAAATATTTCTCTTGAAAGGATTAAGTCAACTGCAAATGAATATACAGTTAAATATTCTCAAGGCATATCTTCACTATCATTTCTTTCTCCCTGAGTCCTCCACACTTTAAGTATAACAGTTATCCAATTTCCAAAATCATCAGGAAGCACAGACCTGAGATTTACGAATAAAAACATCAGACAGATACTAAGCAATTAAAACTAGCTTGCTTGTTTGGATTTTACAGTTTAAGAAAAATCCAATTTACGACATTAAAGTAAGATGAAACTATTTCTTTCTGCGTAACAACTTTTCACTATACAAAACTAATTAAGAAAAAAAATATCTCAATATACAGAACTTAAGCACTAAAAAAAGAAGCCTTTCCTCTGGAGTACCATACAGTTAACAGTGATGATACTGGTACTGAAAAAAAGCAAAATGTCATATCAGAGATTAACAGCATTCTCAGAGAAAACACATAAAATTCTTTTGACATGACTATGTTACTTTATAAATAGAAAATGAGTAGGATATCCAGGTATTGTCAATGGTACTTCTCAGTAGTCAATAAATTAAAAAAATCCAATCACTCCAAATAAGAAAAATGCATTATGCTGTGTTATAAGTTAGGGATAAAACAGCATTATGCACTGAAATAAAGGACACAAGTAACAGGATAAAGACGATGTCTTTGTTATCCTCCCCAAAATAATTTTGCTGGCAATAGAATAGTCAATACAAAGGAATGAAGGAGTTTTCCCCAAGTCAGGACTGAGCACTGTGTTTGTACCAATCACTATTAGCTACCACTGCTCCTTTTGTGGCAGGATTATAAGATCACAAAGAAGTGATTCTTTGGTTGAACCAGGAACAACCTAGACTCAACATGTAATGGGAATGGATTTTTAAATAACTTGAATGAATTTAATACCTGGCAAAATATTAAAACCAATCAGTGTTATATAAATATTCATTAAAGCATTATAAAGGAACACCACAAAACTTGTACATTTCAGCGCTTTCACTTCTTTTAATGTTGGAAACAATGTATCTTTAACACTTAAACTTTCATGCAAAATTATATTCCACATCTACTTTAGCAAAAGATAATAAAGAGAGTAAAATCTATTATGAAAAATAAACCAGTCACTTCCCTGTGATTGCTTTTGTTTTTTTCCCGGAGGGAAACAAGAAACATTTGTTTCATATCTCCTTTGATGGGATGTTCTAAAGGCACAACCGGCCCAAACCCAAGTTCCTTTTGGGACTGGAGTCTCCTAACCCTCCCCCACTCAAACACTCAGGTTTCTTGTTTGAATGCCTGGGAGTAACACAGCTCCATACCAAAGGATCAACAAATCAAGAAGAAATCAACAAGAAATTCATCAAATCACCACGTGTAATGACACTCAAGGGTCCTAAGTACCCAGCCTCCTCAAGATGCTGGCATCTCGCTAAAGAAACCTGAGGTGAGGGGCGGGAGGGCACTGCAGGAGGACGCGGCAGAGAGCCCGACAGGGTGCCAGGCCGGGACACCGGGAAGCGCAGGAGTGACGCGGCCGGCGGTCACCTGTGGGGCCACTTGTCCAGCCCCGCCCCCAGAGACTGCAGCCCAAATCGCTGCCGGAAGCCCCTTAAACACTCCGGGAAGCAGCAGAACGGGGCCCTGTCAGGCCGGCCTGACACTCACCGTCCACGGTTTTCTTCTTGAAGAGAGACGCCATGGTCAGGGGCCGCGCCCTGGCGGCCCGGCTCGGCCCGGTCCGACCCGAGACTGGGAAAGGAGAAGAGGGAAATGACAGGCCTTTAGGGGGCTGAAGGGGGCGGAGAGGATGGGCAGGAAGAAGAGGGTAGGATCTCAGGGCAGGACCCACAGAGGGCGCCTAGCTGCGAGGCCACCGCAGGCGCTCGCCGGGAGCTCAGGTGACCGGGAACTAAGACACTTTTTGGAGAAGTCACTTCTAGGCGGCGCCTGCGCACTCCGCGCCAACGCGTGCGCACTGCGCCTGTGAAGCCGTTGGCGCTGCCCTCACTTCACCGGCTGCCCGCTCTGCCCGCCCGCTCGGTGGCAGTCTGAAGACGTTGGCTTTCCGCGTTAGCGGAGCGCAGGATGCCGCAGGCGGTGGCCAGGGCTTCGGTGCCATGGTTCCGTGCTGACTGCAAGCACTCATAAGCTTTGCCTAGCGCTTTCCCCTGGCCCTTGGGTTAGCTGAAATTAAGGGTTGCCAGGCTCCTCGGAAAGGTGTGAGTCTTTCCGCAACCCTCTGGACCCTGAGTTGATTTGTGACCATCCCGTTGCTATAAGTACGACTTCTTTTTTAGGCCAATCAGTAAGGAGCGGTGGGAAGGCAGGGTGTGTGCACCAGGTGTAGGTGAAGTTGGCGCCCTTGATCTCCCTGCCCCGCCTGCGCTGCGGGGCTGATTCTGCTGCAGCCCTGAACACACTCACCCCCACCCACCCCCGCTATGGCCACCGTAACTCCGGGGTAAAGGTATAGGGAGCAAGGTTCTAAAGCAATGCTTTTCTTGGCTAGAACTGTAAATAAAATTCATACATTATTTGTATGCACGCCAAAATGTCTCCAGCGCTATTGCTCTTTTCAGGAAAAATTCATTGCTCTACAGTGGACCTATTAGAATATGCCACAGTGTGGTACATAGAAATATGTAGTACTTAAAACTCACAATTGCTATGTGAGATGCAAAAAGTCGTATTAAAAGAAAAGCATACTAAATCATTTAAAGAATCCTTGTATATCTAAATATAGTATGAATAATACTGTGGTGTGTATGTTTATACATACTATCTTTTTTTCGATGTATTCGGTAATTAAAAGCTTAATTTTTCTACAAACGTGTTTCCTCCCAGTGTACTGCTTAGCAACACTGCCTTCCTTAGGGTAAAAATAAGCTGTGCCAGGTTATGTACCTTAGGGGTTAGTGCTTAACATGCACAAGCCCTAGGTTTAATTCTTAGCGTCAGAATGTAACAACAGTGATAGCATTTATGGATTACTATGATTTCTGATATGCAAGACATGCCAATACTAATGTTACTATTATTTATATCTGTATTTATGAATCATCTCAAGAATTTTTAAATATTTGAGATCATCAGATTTGAATTTCCTTTATTTTTCCTTGATAAATATCATGCAGCCACTGACACTAAGAAAACTTTCTTGGAATAGCGATAGTATACAAGATAGAGTTGTCTTCTCTTCAAGTTATTCAGATATTGTTTGCAGGTAAAGCTAGGAAACATTAGAGGTATATGTAACCAAGGAAATAGTTAAAACAGTCAGAATATCCAAGGCCTAGCCTTTTTTGGAGTAAGCATTAAGGCAGAAAAGCAGGGTGGCCTTGCTGCCTTACAAACGAATGGTTTAAAGCTGTGCTTGAATGCGCGAGAGGCAATAAGCTGGTATGTGTATGTGTAGGAATGTTTCTCCCTGCTGCCGTCACCCTAGTTTTATTATTCCTGCATGATGCCCCCCACTGACCCAATTGTAACAGTTGGGAAAATGCCAAAATACTTAGCAGCAACCATATGGAAGACCCTCCAAAAGTGCACAGCAGGAGCCACAGACAGGGCTCCTTCATTACAATAAAGATAAAATAGAAATATTTAGTACTTAAAGTTCGCACTCAAATAGCTTGATTCTCCCATATTTTGAAGCTAGCTGATTACCAGCTGACAGGCACAGGTCTCACTGGCTTCAGATTAATTGATGTCAAACTACAAATACATATTTTGTACACTACCTCTTATGTAAAAGGCATGTTGTATTTAAATATAACTGAGATTTTGGAACACTAAGAAGCTGTAAACTAGCACACAATGCTATATTTATTCAAAACCACCACTATCACACAAACATTCACTGAATCATCAAGATATGTATAAGCATGGATAGAAAAAATTAATTTTGTTTTTTTAACTCTCATTGAGGAAAAACAAATTAATATCCCATGTGACCCAACTATCTTCTTCCATATTGCACAGTGATAAATGTTTTATTACATAGCTGATGACACATATCATGTTATATGTTAGGGAATTATTAGTGAAGAGGCAGATGCAGACCTTTTTCCCTTTTACTTACCTTCCTACAAGTTTTTCTGTTTTCTCACTCAAGTGTCCATCATACAAAGACAGGCTTTGACTCAGTAAGAGGAAGTAGTTTTTCAGACCGCGAGATATTTTGAAAAGGAATGCGTGCTGTGTAAAACAGTGACTTCAAGTCTGAAGGGTTCAAGGAATAAGTTTCATAGAATTCCTTTGAAGAATTATAATCTTGGTTAAAATATCTCATGTTCCTTTAAAGTCTGCAATTGTGAATAAAAGAGCTTAAGCCAAAATATCTTGGTGTATGATGCTTCATACCCTACAGATAATGGGCCAAATCTTGTTGGCAAACTTTTTAAAATATGGTGGAAAATCACATAGCATTTCACCATTTGGGATCATCCCGATTCAGATAGCTTTCCTCTCTCTTCCACCTATTTACCACCTCCCTTGCTTTGCTCCTTTCATTCTTAGCTACCATATTCTCATTTCACTATAGCAGACAGATCCTCTTAAATTGAGAAATCATGTTATTTGGTTCCTCAAAAATGTAGCAATATGTCCTCAGTTAATATGTCTGAAACCACACACACACACACACACACCTTGTCCTCGTAATTACATTTCTGCTATGCAATAATTAAATGTCCAAATTTCAGCATTAGGTTACTGTCTTCTTTTTTCCCATTATTTCCACCCAAATTCATAGTATTCTGCAATGTATAATCATTCTTGTTCTGTACACTGTATTTCTGACAACGCCCTGTGTGATTTCTTTAGCAATTTTGAAAATTGTGTCCTTTGTATAGCACCATTTAGTTAAGTAAAAGTTGTAGCCTGTTTGTAAACACAAATTCATATTCAATTAATTCCAGGCTTATTCTTTATTAGTGGATAATTTAAATCCAAATATGGAACTTTTTGTACATCATGTAGAGACATTCACCTTTGTGTTGATTTACTTATAAACATTTTGAGGTATCATAGCTATGAATTTATTCACATTTTAAAAATGAAGTTTTTTTAAACTTTCTTTTTGTAAATTCATTGTTTTTTGTTTGTTTATTTTTTGTAATCTTTTGGGAGACACAAAGTGTTCTATTGATGTGAGATACAACATGCCTATGTCATATTATTATCAGTTACAGTAATTAGATAATTAAAGCATGGGTTAACTTTGGCATAATTTATTCTTGGAGAAACAAGAGTCAGTCTAAATGTTCAAGATTTTCTTTTCAAGCATTAATATATTTTAATCATCTAATATTGCTTTCTAGAGAGTTTTGTATTTATGAATCATCTCAAGAATTTTTAAATATTTGAGATCATCAGATTTGAATTCCCTTTATTTTTTCTTGGTAAGATACCATGCAGCCACTGACACTAAGAAAACTTTCTTGGAATAGCAATATGATACAAGGTAGAGTTGTCTTCTCTTTGAAAACTGGAATGTTTGCCATTTCCCAGTCTCTGGTGTCTTTTCTTAGAATTTGAACAGATTCTGTTTTCTGCTCTGCTGGCTCTTGCACTCAGGTCATCTCATGGTGAAGCCTGCTGACTGTGGACTGAAGGTTGCGTCTATGTTAGGTTCAGCAACTGTGTAGCTATTAGACCCCAGGAGACACAAAGTGTTCTATTGATGTAAGATACAACATGCCTATCTTAAAGTGAAACTGTAAATCAGTGAAACTCTGTTTGTTTCATCACATCTGAGATAGATTAGTACTGCCCTTATACAGCTGTGGTAAGGATTAGATGAGCTAATATAAGAAACTCAAAGTAGCATCTAATTTATAATGTCTTAGTCCATTTGTGCTCTCCAAAAAATACCATAGACTAGCTAATTTATAAAGAGTACAAAGTTATGTCTCACAGAGGCTGGGAAGTCAAATATCAAGGCATTGGCATATGCCTTGTAACTGGCTATGCCCCCAAACCTCATGTAGGGCATTTTGGATTTAGGATGCATGCATATGGATTCAGGGTGTGATACTGGGACTAAGGGTATGTGGCAACTAAATGGGTTTAGCATAGTTCTGGGTATGGATAATGGAAACCCCACCCTGGGTGTGGGTGGCAGCAAACAATGATTTTTGTAGCCTGAATAGAACAGAGAAGAGGAAGGTAGGCTCACTGCTGCTGCCGCCACCTTCTTGCCATGCCATGAACTGTTTTACCTCTGCAGTGCCCCTGTGGCATGCGATCCTGCCTTGGAACTAACTGATTGTGGACTGAAACCTCTATAAACTGTGAGCCAAAATAAACCTGTCCTCCTTTAACTTGTAGGTGTCAGATATTTCGTCTCAACAGTGAGAAAAGTAACTAAAACAGACGTTTTTGCTGTCTGGTGAGGACTGCTCTCTACTTCTGAAATGGCCCCTGTTGCCCTATCATTCAGGAGGGAATGATGCTCTGCTGCCATGTGATAGAAAGACTAAAGGCAAAATTGGATGGCAGTTCTTGGGAACCTGTTTCAGAAAGACAAGTAATCCCATTCATGCAAACTGTTTTCATGGTTTACTCACCTCCTAAAAGCCTCACTTCTTAGTATGACATTTGTAATCAAATTTCAATATATGCATTTCAATTCAGTCTGTAGCATAATAAGCACTGAAAGGTCTAACTAACTCTTCCAGCTCTTAGTCTGTACATTTTCTTAAATTATTTCTTTACTGTGAAATTCACTCTTCTGTAATAGAGAAAATATAAACTGAAGACTTTCTGATTTTGATCCTTCTTTTACCTGAAATATATCAGCTACACCTCCCCAAAGTAGCTCATTTCTTTCTCCTTAAAAAATAATCTGTTTTTATTGGGTTTTTTATTATTTTCCTCATGAGATCTGTGTGCGTAAACTTTTCTAGAGAAACAGAATCAATAAGAACATACACAATGGTATTTCAGTTCACAAATGCTTTTTTGTGTGAACAATTTGATTTGTAAACAGAAATGTTGGACAAAATTTGTTTTTGTTTGCAAACTCTGCATGGAATGACAAATACAACTCTGGCCATCTTCACACCAACATAAATGTGACCATCTTTTCCAGAATCATGGAACAAATTAAGTTTGTGAACCGACATACCACTACATATATTTTTATAAAATAATTAAAATTAGGCAAGGAGATTTCTTAGGTTTATGGGATCAGAGGTACAATAGTCCCCTGTGGCTATTTGCACTCTCTAGAGCCAGAAGATCCTCAATCTAAAACGCCTGAGGCCACAGCACAGAGTGATAATGAATACAGTGCCAATTCAAAACAAAAGGCCTGCAGCTCCTTACAAAGTTGCTGCTGTGAGTCTGGGTTGAAAGACTGCAGTGAAGCTGGAGTCTGTTGTACACAGCCAAAGGCAGTTGCAAAAGATGCCTCCATCTGACAGAATAGAGATTTTAAAATGCAGGTGCTTCCATTTTCGGTCTGGGCTGCAGATCTATTAGACTTCGCAACCCCCACCATCCAGCTAGGTCTTCTCCTGTTTGTCAGCCTCTGTACCACTTGTCCCCTCCCCCCATAGCCTTCTAATCTGCTAGGCATCTCCTAAGTGAAACGAGTTAACAATCAAAATTAATGATCACAGTTTTTTAAAGGAATATGTATCTAACATTGATGTTTATTAAAATCGAAGAATCCACTACAGGTTTATGTTAATCTTTTTTCTCAGCTCCAAATCTTAAATTCTGCATGTTAAAATAAAAAGTTTTATCAGTCCATGCAATAGTTTTATTGTTAGATTATAAACACATAACAGTAGAACCAATGTAATAACATTTTAATATTACCTATGTTTCAGTATTTTAACAATAGAATGACATAATTTAGTACACTTATATTGACCACATAAACTTAATTGCAAGTCTCCGTATGTATATCTCAAAGGTAGCCACCATTATCTCCATGAGCAGCGCAACTCTGGCAAACCTGTTTCTAAGTCACTGGTTCTGTCAGTGACAGATAAGAACTTAATGTGCATTTTTTTTTCTTTCTCCAATTTCATTTAGGTTCAAATTTGGGCACACTATAAGCTCTTTTACTACTTTCCTAACTACCTTATACCATCATTTGATTTATATTTTAACAATGGTACTATACAAACTATGGTTATTCATAAACAAAAATAATACCTTCAATTTATGCATCATTTAAAATGTATTTGGAGCTGTAGAAATTTAGCACAGCAAAAGTCATCATTTTAAAGATCAGTCACTTCTTTCTTGTGTCTTAATTGATTGAGAGGTTATAGGGGCCTGGGATTTAGCTCAGCAGCAAACTGCCTGCCTGGCAAGTGTAAGGTCGCGAGTTTGATCCCTGGTATAAAAAAAAAAGAGAGAGAGAGAGGGTATAATAAAACAGACCGTAAATTAGAAACAGCAAATCTATTCTTCACAATTCTAGAGGCTATGAGGTTGGACATCAAGATGTCCGCAGGCTTTGTGTGTGATAAGCAGGTTCTGTGCCCCTCATGTGACTCGAGCAAGAAACAAGTTCAGGCTTCTTTTATAAGGAAAAATGATCCACTCATGGGGATGAAACTTCATGACCTATTCATGTTCCAAGGTTTCCATTTGTTAACATCATTATAGTATAAATTACATTTCAACATAGAAACTTGAGGGAGGCAAAAGCATACAGAAAACATAAGGAATCCACACAGACATGCAATAGTTTGAACAAATTACGTAGTTAATAAGGAGTTGGACCAAATATATATGAGAACACATTGCTTCCCCTTCTGTTTCTGATCCTTGCTTTCCTTTCCCTCCCCCCCCCCGCTTTTCCATCTCTTTCTTTTTCTTTTTTTGGCCAAATTGGAGCATGATAATCAGCATATGATTTCTGTCCAACTATCAATAACTTCATTATGTGTGGGACAGACTTTAATGCAGTCATACGTCCTGCCTACTCATGTAGGTTATCTGTCAGTGTCCTCACTGTGTCTGGGTAGGTTATGTGCTCAGAGGACAAGGAAGAGGGTGCACATATCTAAGGGTGCTGTGTTCAACATTCAGACACAGAAGCATACAAGGTTTGGTTTCAGGGAAAGGCTAGCTAAAAGAAGCCCTTATGTATCTTTCTTTTCTGCCTCCCATCCCTTCTCAGAATACTACTAAGCACATACTCTTTGATGCCAGACTTTCAGTTTCTCCAAACAGAGAGCAAGAAGGCTGCCTTTATTCTTCCTGACTAAAAGACAATGATCCAAGAACATTACATTAGATGATATATCTAATTTGTATACATTTCAAGAAAAATAATCTATGGAACATTTTTCCATCTTTCAGTATTCAAGCTTTAAAATTTGGACTTTTCCTGAAATTCCTGCATCTATACCTTTAACTATTTCAGAAATTTGTGTCATGTCTCTGTCACATCTTGCTTTTAAAAATACATGCCATAAAGAATGAGTCAGACTACTGAGACACTTACTCAATGAAAAGCTAAATGAGTATCCTAAATGTGTGCGGCTGCACATCATTGGTTTTATAGTCTAAAAGACTTCATGTGTTATCTGCTCTGTGTAACAACATGATCCTTTTTGAAAAATAAACTAAACTTTGCCCTGAATTCCTCTTAGTGTTAATAGGAGTTGCACATGAGTAAATCAAAAGAGAATTTGTGCCCCCTGGCACAACAGAACATATGTATATGTTTGCTCTTCAATTTAGTGAAGACTGTAGAATGCAAAAATACTACCATACAAAATAAAATGAACTTAAACTTGGGGATAATGGGTTTGGTTATTCAATAAAATAAAGCTATAATAGCTATTGTGCTTTATATTTTAAATGAATAGAAATTAAGATAAGCTCTAGATGTGACATTTTAATAAATTAGTAAGGATGAATAATTTACTAAGACAAAAACTCTGTCTTTTCTATACAAATAAAGTGACCTTTTATAATGATACCCATTTCATGCTACATTTAAATGATCTCCTCATTGTTCTACTCAATCATGTAACAAATGCTTAGATAGACTCTACTAAGAAATATATAGTGATACTTAGATATTCTGAAGTACCTAAAAATTACGTAGACATGGAATATGTTCTACAGAATTTAAAATTTAAAAATCTAGTAAAGTTATTGAGAATTCACCAGGAATTAAATGAGAAAATATGATACATGATCATATTATTTGGGATCAAACAAAATTATGTAATTAATTGAATTTATGAGTGACAAATTTGTTAGAAAATCTTTCTGAGAGTTGAGCTATAAGTCATGTATTGTCTTTAGAAGTATATTTTCATTTTTAAAAGTATCTTTGTTGGGGCTGGGGATTTAGTTCAGCGGCATAAGCGCCTGCCTTGCAAGCAGGCAGTCGTGAGTGTGAGTTCGATCCCTGGTACCGATAAAAGACAAAATAAAATAAAATAAAATAAAATAAAATAAAATAAAAAGTATCTTTGTTTCATTCTCATGGAAAGAAGTACTTAAGAAATTCAAAGGTACCTAATATCAAATGAAAAATGTAAACAATTTGAAAATAGTAGATATTTTGATACAAAGAAATATAAGAATGTCTAAAATGCAAAGGAATGATTAAAATAATATATATATATATATGCCCTTATATTACTGACACATATGACAATAATAATCAGCATCTGAATGTATATAATGGTCAGATTTAAGGGACATATTATATTTTATTTTTATAGTTTAATGTGAAAATCATTTATTTCTATTTTATTCTGTGAGAATAACTATTTACGCTATAAACCATCATTCCAAAACTTGCAATAAAAATATTGATTTGAATATTACTTTTATATTAGAAAAAAATAAGTTATCAATCATAAACAAAGACCTGAATATTCAGTTTATTGGAAATTTATAGATAAACCATATTTATTTCCAATTGTGTGATTGGTGTCTACCTGAGAGTAACTTTTATAAGGTTCTTACAATAATAAAATCAGTAATTCAGTCTATGTGTGACATAAAATTTATGTGGAAATATTAAGATAGTCTCTACCAAATTAAAAAAGTATATTTTCAATAAAGGAAAAAACCTCACAAAAATTACTTGTACTGTGAAAATTAAACTTCTGGTTCAAAATAGCAAGTTGAACTTTTATGTCAGAGCAGGCTTTATGAGTTACAAAAGGTTTTTATTGTTTTATTGACACTAGTTACTGCATTTGGAAATGTGGAGAGTTTCAGGTACCATTCTGAGTTTATTTCAAGTAGGATACTGATTTATACGTAAAGCTGTTTGGAACTTCCCCACTACATCTATCTTAAATATCTTCCCATTGTTTCTACCAGAATGGTGCTTTATTAATTTTCTATTGTTACTATAACAAATTACAGCATGAATTCATTGCTTAAGTAATCCATATGCATTATGTTTTAGTTACAAAATGCGTCTCACTGAGCTAAAATCGAAGTTTCATCAGAGCTGTGCTCCTTCTGGGATTTCTGAGACATCTTTTTCTTGCCTTTTCCAAAATCTAGAGATCAGCTGTATTGTTTGTTTCTTTGCCCTTTGTTCAGTTTTCAGAGCTAGCAGCACACCAAAACTCTCACTGAATCTTTTTCTTTTCTTTCATATATATTTGGAATATATTAGGTCAAAGCAGGTATTTCAGGATACTTATTTTAAAATCAGCTCTTTACCAAGTATTATGGTTTAAGTCTAAAATGTTAGTCAAAATACATATGTGTGGAAGGTGATTGGATCATAGAGACATTATACTCAGAAGATTACTTCATTGCTGAGTGAAGTAACTAAATGCTCTGTTAGTAGGTGGGGCCCAGTTGGAGGTGAATCACTGGAGCTGTGACCTGAAGAAATATTTTTTCCTGGCTCCACCTTTTTCTCTCTGTGCTTCCTGGGTGACACGGAAGAGCACCTTTTGCTTTGCTATGCCACTCTACCACTCTGTTTCTGCTTTTGAGCCAGCAAATTATGGACTGACATTGTAAAGCAAAATAAACCTCTTCTCCTTAACATGGTAAGTGCTGGATTCTGTGTCTCAGTGATGGGAAAGTAACTATTATGGTTTTAGTGTTACCTAAAAGCCTCACATGTTCAGAGATGGATGACTGGGTTATGAGTGCACTATCCCTCACCTCTTTTAGCAGGAGGAGCCTGGTTAGATGTGTGTCACAGAAGATGTGACCTGGAGGGGTGTATGTCCCTCCCCAACTCCTCTGTTTCTCAGCTTCCAGATCACTATCACAGGAGCAGCTTTCCTCCAACAGATTCCTCTACCATGTCTTTCCTGTTTTGAAGACAACAAACTGCAAACTGCATCTTCCTAAATCTATTAGCCAGGGTAAATTTCTCCTTTAAATTGTTAGTGGAGGCTGTTTCTTGTAGGGACAAGGAAGTGACTCATACAGTGACTAAGACAAATTTCAGTGCTAGGTAAGTGAGATTGTTCGAAGAAGATGTCCTGGGAACTGGTATGTTGCAGGAAGTTTGAAAGGTTTGGAGATACTGGCTAGAAAAACCCTTGTTTGCTGTAGGCCAAGCTTGATGGGAGATTTTGGTTGGAGCTCAGAAAATCAGAATGTTGATAGAAACCCAGACAGTAAGGGCCAGGCTCAGAATTTTCATTTGGAAAATGGACTCAATTGATAGTCAGACTAGAGTCCATGTGTGTTATTCTCTGGGGGTAAAAAAAAAAAAATTGTGTTTTTCCCATGCCTTAAGACTTTGCATGAGGCTGAGATTAAAGGTAGTGAAGTAATTAATTTCCTCTGGCAAAGGAAATTTCAAAGCAGCCCCGTGCTCAGGATATAGTATTGTTGTGACTGCTGGTTGCCTTTAAACACATCTGCAGTGAAAATCAGGAGTAAATATTAAAGACAAAGGATGTGAAAAGCTTGCAATTTCAATGAGATGAAAGGGTCTACATGGTGAGGACATCCATCTACATGGGGAATGTGGTTGCTGCAATGATTGGAGTTAAAAAAAAAAAAAAGCCCAAGTACTTTGCATCAGGACTATAAAGCTTTCATTTGGAAGGAGAGCTCCAGGGTTCTCTGCTCATTCAGGAAACAAGGGCAGTGTTTCCTTGAGTTCAGTCACTTATGGCTGCAAGGGAACCTGGATATGGCTAAATGTGCCAACAGCCCTTGGCATTACCCATGTGGTGCTGGTTTTACAGTCATGCAGAATACAAGAGTTGTGTCAGGGAATTTCTCACTCAGATTTCAGAGGAAGCCTCCGGGAGGCCAGGCAGTCTGCACCAGAGAGGGGCAGTGAAATTGCAAAAATCAAAGATGAAAGAGCAGTAACACTCTCAAAGGTTGAGAGTAATTAATGTAGCTCATTGAAGCTGTTCTATAAATATTAGAGGTCAGCCATTTGGTAAATGTCTTCTCTTTCTTGTAGGCACATTTTATATAAGAACTTTTCCTGCACATATTTTCCATCATTTTATGTGGGGATATAGAAAAGTACTCATGGGTTTATATATATATATATTTTTTTTTTTTTTTTTTTTTTTAATTGGTACCAGGGATCGAACTCACGACTGCCTGCTTGCAAGGCAGGAGCTTATGCCGCTGAGCTAAATTCACAGCCCTCTCATGGAGTTTTTTATAAAGATATTCTGATTTTGATGACAAAAGCTGACTTTAAGTCTAAAGCTTAACTGGGAAGAGATTAGATCTGCCACTAAAAAGAAGGAACCAGGTATGGGAATAGTATTATGAAGAACAGTTATTGAAACCTTGTACACAATTTGCTAAGGAAATTTAAATATGCTAAAGGCAAAACATGATACACATGTATGCCCAGATCATGATTCAGTTTTTAAGCCACTAGAAACGGTTCTTCACTTTCACAGTTCTCTCATGTGCCATTTGAGGTTATCCTGGTTTGAGCGGTAGGGTAGAGTCTAGAAGAAAGTTGTAACATTCTGTAGTAACACATTCTGTATTGTAGAAGAAAAACCATAAAAAATTTAAAAAGCAGACCTCCAAAGTCAAAATTTTAGAGTGATTCAGATCTTCCACAATATGGTTTAAGAAAAAAAAAAAAACAAAAAAAAAACAAAAAAAAACCAAAAAAAAAAAAAACCAACAACAACAGGTGTTATTTAAAAAGAATGATTAATGATTATATTTATAATATATGATGAGAAGTGTTGGTCAGGTTAATCAGAATCATTTTAATAATCAATTTAGTAATCCTACAGTATAAGGAAAATGTACTTTTCCTATTTTTTACACATTACTAGAATGTGGAAAACTAGATCTAAGCCCAGGAATATTTTACCAAGGGAAATTGGAGACTCTCCCTGGGTATCATAAATACAGTTTTCCATCTGCCTGAAACCGTTTAGGTGAAACATGCCTGAAGTAGGGACTGGATCAGAAGATCTCTGGGGGTCTCTTGCAGCCTTTTGAGTCTTTGTGAGAAATTTCTAATCAGCATGTTAATGAGTACTTTAAATCTGTATTCTTGTTTCCTTGAAGATAATTACCAGAAACAGTAAGTGGAGAACACTATTTCTATATGCCTATTTAAAAGAAAAAAAGAAAGAAACAGGAAAGAAAGAGAGAGGGAGGGAAGGAAAAGAGAAAGAAAGAGACAAAGAAGATTCTGCTTCAAAGTAAAAAAAAAAATTTTTTTTAAAGAGGCAATAAAATGTGACCCACTGTATATCAGAAAAAGCAATTACCTGAGAAGGTAACATGGCTCAGTGGTCTCGGAAGCATTGAGAATGTCCAAGGCTATGTGTACTATTGCCTGTTCTTATGATGTCTTGCTGTGTGACCCAGGACAAGTCACTTGACCTTAGTCTCCTCATCTGAAAACACAAGAGCCCAGGAGTTGTGCTTGGTTTCCTGACTAATATCAAGCTACATGAGTTGAATGAAAAATGAATTTCATCTGGCTTCATCACTGCTGCTGCAATGACAGATGGGAATCATATGAATTAGATTAGCCCCTGTGCTTCATTAATGAACAGAAAAAAGTCTGAATAACCTGGGTGTTAAACTTGGTAAACGCTTTAGGGATTCTTAATTTCATACACTTCATAAATAATGACAATAGCAAAAATTTATTTGGATTTCTGCATAAGAAAAATCAATTGTGATATTATCCTTTGTGTTCAGCTTATCTAGTTACTCTAAAATTGGCCCTCAAAGAAAAGGTGTTAGGAAAACCCACACTTAATTAGGCCAGTATCTCATATTCTGCATTTAGTTTTTAAGAAGAAAACACCTTTTTGATAAAATTGATATTAAACTTATGCATAACATGAAAGACTATTCATTCTAAAATTGGCTAAATATTTGTGATACCTTTTAGAGAAGACAAAAAATACTTCAAAAATGTATTAAAATGAACTGGAACTCTGAAACATCTTTGCAAGTTACAATCTTTGAATACATGTAATAACTATCATCTTTATTTCAATAAGTTATGTGTTTTCATTAAAATGAAAGACTCTAATCTTTTCCGTAGTTGGCACTTTGATTTGAGTTGAAATTTTATGCAGCCTTTTGTTCATAAACATTAAAGACAGGGCAGGGATATCAGGAAATACTGCTCTTCTTGAGGTTTGGGGAATCATAAATTCTGGTTCTAACTCTGCTATTCAGCTTTTAGGTGTCATTACGCCTTTGTCTCACCATCTGTACCATATGAATAATCATATTTTGCTAACTCACAGGTGTGTTGTAAAAGATAGGCAATAAAAAGTAACTGAACATGCAGACATTCTCAGGACCAAGACAACAAGGAAAACAAATAGTTAATGAGATACAAAGCAAGCAGATTAACTTTCTAGTGAAACTCCATGAGAATCAAATTTAACTTGAAATCAGAAATATTTTCTAACGCTATTTACCTAATTAATTTTCACATAATTTTTCCTACTTCTAAATTTGGTGAGGAACAATAAGAAATAAAAATATATCTTGACTCTTCAGTAAGTCTGATAACTCTTACATGCAGGATCAGCTAATGGTAGACTCTCATTCTAAGTTTATGTAGTAATTAACATGGCTGAGAACTTCAATTAAAGAAGAGTATGCTTCACCTTAAAAACAGAGACTATGGAAGCTATAAGGACTTCAAGAAATTCCTTATAATCTCTTGTCTTGATATGTATTAACACACACACCCAGCAGGGCTTTGTGTCCCTCCCTTATACATTTTCAGATTTCAAAGACATCAGTTTATAAATATCTAATTTAGGTCAGATGTTTTTACTCTTGAGTATTAAGATACATTTAGAACAGAAAATTCAGAATAGATATGGGTACTAAGCACTAACTTTTCTTATTAAAAGAATATTCCCGTATATGGAAAAAATCATTTTGACTCAAGAAATAAACCTACTTGTTGACTTGTAAGAGGATATGACTGAATGGAAGTAATTCTTGGCCTATAAAAGAAAGCAAAGAATCTCACTTTCTCTTCTTTGTGGTTGAGAGAACATTTCCTATCAGCTACTGCCTAATAAACACCTTCACAGTCTTAATGCCTATACTCCATGAAGGAAATCAGAGTTTGAAAATAAAGAGTTAACAAATGATGTGTTTCCAAGTTCTTTCTTTTGATTCTCTGCGAGGATTTTGCTTTCCATATTATTACTACTATCTTTCAACAAACTCCTTAGCTTTTCCCCTTGTGAAACATAACCTTCTTATAAAATAAAATAAATAAGCAACACAAATAAGCCATGTAGGCACCCAGATTTAGTATTAGGAAAGTCAGCAGGACAAGGCATTTCAAGGATGGATAGTCAAAACTGTTAAAATCATGCACAGTGGATAAAAAGTATGAAGTAGAGAAAAAGCCATTTTATTTCATGATTATCATTTATGACATCCAGAAATGCACTTTCGATTGTATAGGAGCAGGAGGTCAAAATACATTGAGCTAAAGAGTAAGTCATGTTGAGAAGAAAGTGGGGGCAGCAAGTATAAAATACACTTCAAAATTCGAGAGTAAAATGAGAAGAAATCCAAGACACTCGGAATATAA